ATTAAATAAAATATAGGGTGCTAAACAAAGCAAAATTTCTTTATACGATTATTATTTCTCGTTAACAATGTTAAGTATTTATATCTATATGATTTTAGTAGAGTTGTATACTTATTTCAATAAACTGAACTTGTAATATTATATTTAAGGATGCAAACGAGTTTCCTCCATTTTAAAGATGGTTAAGTAGCAGTAACTAAGAAATCCACAAATACGATGATTCTAATTTAATGTCATGAAGTTGAAAAAACGTCCTACACATTCCACCTTCAATAAGACATCTCAAATAAAAATATTTATTTTTTAGATATTTTGACGTTTAGTTTTAGGAAGAATTAAAATCAATACTTTAAATTATATATTGAAAGAAGAATGAATGTGACTACAAACAACTTACAGATAATGTTATATTAATAAGTTCAAGTATCACAGTCAAACCTTCAAAATATTTCAGCATTAAGAGAATCTGTCAGAAACACACACTTAATTCTTTATGGAGACTGTAATCGTCAAATTAATCAGAGCACCCTATAAAATAATTTAACGTTTCTAGGTTTGAATTAAAAAACGAATTTTCAAATGTAATTACACAAATGTAAACACTTCACATGTGAAATAATACAATAATATTGTTAAGAATAAATATTTTTTAAAAATTTCGTCCATTTGTTAATCATTCTATGTTACAATAATATTTACTAAGTGTACAAATTAATTCGTGGCCCACATTATTATGGACGAATACTTTCAAGACAACGTAGATTGTATTTTGTTTTCTTGTGAATAAACAACAAATTCATGAAAAGAAGGCCACAAATTAATTTGTACACATAATAGAATTCACTCTGAACTTGCTCTAAGAATAACGATAATAATATTTTCATACTAACAATAAGAGTAAACAAAATATTATACACAAAGGACTATGATACCGTCTAAAATACAGTAACTAAATTTATTAACCGTCCAATATACGAATAATAATCAGAGTGGTTTTTGAACTTCGTTATTAGAACAATAACAAAGGTAAATACAATATTTCGATAACGCGAGGAGGAATGTTTGTACTAGAAAATGATTCGTCTGCGCGAAGTTGTAACCTTCGATGGTACGGGCCTTGTTTCCGAATCTCCGTTTAATACACACGGGAGACGTACGCTGCTAGTTTCCACAGCGATTCCCCTGCTGCTAGTCGAAAATGGATCGGTTTCATCAGCGACCCTCGGCTCTATCGCCTGTGCAACATGAATAAGCGAGAACATCATCGATACGATCTTGGAACATAACGTGCACTTTAACGAGGCAAATACAGATGCAATGACTCGTATCCAAAGCCTTCCGTCATCGTCCCTCGTCTGCTTTTATTCGGAAATTTTTATACAGCGCGACTAAATAACTCGTTACTTCAATTAAAATTGGGTTTAAATTAAAATCGAATTGAGGAAATATATTTGCCTGTTCTCTAGATTGTAATATATATATATGTAAGCTATTGGTGTCAAATTAATTTACAAATTTATATAATAAAGAAATATAATTATGAATCGAATATTAAATTCATTAGTAAGATTTGCTATAAAGAACTGGCGCGCACATTGGCAGCAACATAGGCAGCAAATTGGCTCACACCAAAACGAAATATCCAAATACGGAAACAGATGTCGATGGATTTTTAGACAACTTCTGTCATTATTTGCTGGCAATATGCTCGAAACTTGTACACAACTGGCTATCAGAATACCTCCTCTCACTTCTACAATCGTGAAACAATTATTAGGTGTATACAAAGGTAATGGCTGTTTTTCCATCGAAAAACATTATTAATATTAAGCAATTGTTACATCATTGTAGACATAACTTCTTGCCACTCTTCTTGTAAACATGGAATTTACCGTCGATGAATTACAATGAAACTATGATACCAAATTAAATGAGATGATCATTAATAATGAATTATTACTTTTGGACACACCTAATACAATCTGGAACTTTAAACATGGTTTGCTGCTTCTATTTATAACCAATTCATAGTTGCTAAATGAAGTAAATAATACAAGTGTTTTCGATTAGTTTTCTATGTGTCCTGTAGGTCAAGAACATTTCAAGTTCACTTTGTTACAAATCATGAAATTAACCCTTCTGTCGAATAATAGAAGCATGTCTAGTTCAAAATAACGACCGATACGAATGTAACTCAAATTTAAAGTGTGACCACGTGAGTATTCGTTTGAACAAACCGATACGCTTTCGTTTTCATACTTTAATAACATAATCGATAAGAAAATGGCTTAATCAATTACGCGTTTATATGAAAGTGGGTATTTAAAGATTGTTTCCTTTTTATTCGCTATATTTTCTAAACCGGGTAGTAATTGGTGAAGTTAAAGTGAATCTGATTCAATCCTTTCAAAAGTCGACACTCTTCATTCGCCTGACATCCATGCAATCCGTGCGTTTCTTCTTATAATTCTCCTCTTTCAGATCTTCTATCACCAGAGCAGGATTTAATCGCGTTAGTAATCAACACATAATCAACAAACCGACGTACTATTCAGATAAACCGGAGCTAAAACGCTTACTAAAATCGACCTTAACGAGAAAATTATCATAAATTTGAATGAAGCGCGATTTTCTTGTAATCCAAGTATCCAAGACGCGCTTTAAAACCAAGAATTTCTCATTCGAATGCTAATGAGAAGATTCTCTTATAATAGTGACAATATCCTTTGCATTAGATCCTCTTTAGGTCGCAATACTTTTTATCGTTTTTATATTATAGGTGAGTTTTTTCCCCGTAGAAGTAGCTTAAGGATTTGATCAGTATTAGTCTGCCTGGTCGAGTTTAAGACCAGTCGCAGGCATCAATTAGGAAGAACAAACGAAATTGAGGAGACGAAATATTACCTGAATTATACAGATGAAAATAATTAGAGAATCAGGGAGTTATTGATTCGGTGTATATGATGTGTCGGATTTGTTAGCAGTATTGAATATTCTTATCATTGACCGACTTTTATTTATCAAAATGAAACTATCGATATTTCTCAACGACACACATATGTATATTCATACCAGTGGTATTAAAAATTTGAATTCTTTAATGTACATTTTTCAATTTGAAAATAATATTTAGAAAATGGTGTAAACTGTAGACGTCTTGTCGAATAATATATGTTGTTTAAAAACAGAATCTCCCTAGAATCTCAAATGAAATTTCGTGAAGTTGACAATTGAGTTCAATATTACTTTCAACTCATCATTTACTTTAGCTCTATAATAGAGTTTTTAATTTATATTATTTTCAGCCCTTAACTGTGGCCGATAAGACAATCTAACATAAAAATATGAAAGTTTTTGAACCTGCTTAATTACTTGCGGGTCTTCTTGAACGCTGACGTTCCAGTCTCGGTCGGGGAAAGACTGTACATATCAGCGAATATTCTATGCGAAAGTTCGCTGAAATATTGTACTAAAGACTGTTTCAATTCTCTTCGACACAGTATGTAACGCGTCCGAATAAACGTTCCGTTGCAACGAGAATTTCGTAGAATGCAATTAATGCAAGAATAACACCATTGACTTCGACCATTGATAAAATACTTCCCATTCTTCGTACAAATTTACATCCAACTACAGCACCTGTCCTATCTCCCTTATTTGTATCTCTGTTTCGTAGTAATGTTTGTTTACATATTAGTGTTTTTACACGATTAATTAGCTTCGAACGTTATAGTGATATAACACATGATCCCAAAACACCAGAAAACTCCACGAAACAGAATCACACCGAGCGACAATCAAGTCCACTTATCCGTGCTTCCGCGAGCCCAACTGCGAGACACTACGCGTTCACTTTGTTCCGACACCACCTAATATCTGTTTCGTCGCAGTCAACACCCATTTAATTGAACCGTCGAGTTCATCGGAACTCTTCGCGAGCTCCCGACCGAAGTATTCTCGTCACGTACCACTTGTAAACCCCATTTAGATCGGTGGAAGGGCTTTGAAAGTCGGCAAAGTTACCCGAGGAGTCCTGGGATAGTCATTATCGTCGTAAATTGTCCCCGAGCTGTTCCACTCTACCCTTCCCGCTCGTCATATAATTCTAAATTCTTAGCGACATTAGGCAAGAACGGCCATTAACAGTTCTTTGAAGCGAGGCTGCGCCTCAGGGGCTGAAGATCGGGATGCGTTCGTTGAGTGAATATCTCTTGATTGACACCACGGGCTGCCTGGATACCGTGTTTCCCACAATAAATGGTCGCCACGCATTCCATCGAATCACCCCTATAAAACACCAAGGCTCCCGTGACACTTGCCGCTCGAGTCGCTCGATTTATTGTTTCCTGTTTTCGAACGTTTCCCGGATCGTCTAGTATCTGGGTATCATCTATTGACCCCTGACGCTGATTAACCGTAACCCTCCCCGGGAACCAGGGAACGTTCGACGTCACACGAGCCTCTTCCGTGGAAGAAGGCACCAAATCGAGATTAACTTCTCCCTCGTAGACGACGTAGCAACGGTAGGAGGATAAAGGACAGCGGAACTCCGGCGTGCGTTAGTCGTGTTCAACGATACCCTGGATTTTCCAAACGGTTTCCGGGAGGAGAATGAGCGTTCTTCTTGATCGTGGCTTGACGTTTCCAGTCGTTGATAAATTATTCCTATCCTCGCGTTAAGGAAACTCGCGGTGAACGTACTCTCTGTTCCCGTATCCCTTCGAGTCTTACTTCATTCGGTCGTTTTACCAAGGAGAATTAATCGACCCGTCCGTTTAACTCCGAACCGGATCGTTCGAGTGTCGTATGAAAGTTCGAAATCCTTCTTCCATCACTGAGCCGTCCGGGTTTCTTAATCCTCGAACCCCTTTCTACGCTGTCCGATCATTAGGATCACCTGTTGTCCCTGACTTGGAGGATTATCGGGGAGCTTCTTCTAGGGAGTGCCTTCACGTCGCAGGTAACAGGGAGCTATTCGTCCGAGGTGACTCTAACGGGCATTAACTCCTTCCCTCGAACGGGCACGGCAGGATGGCAAGGATAAGGGGCAGCAGAACACTGGTTAGCAAACGGCAGGCCGTTGCCTCGGGAGAACCGGCGGATTTCGTGGGTGGATTTCTAGCCTGGTCATTCATCACGTCGCTGGATATCGCGGCGCTGTTTGGCTCCGCCGAGGGACAGCTTATCGGGACGCTCATTGTGTCGTTGCTGGACGTGGATTCTCGAGAGCAACGGCTCGCGTGGTGACCCAGGCAACCGGCGTACGAGATGGCGTGCGGTATATAGCTTTGGTCGATGCTACCGGAGAACAAGACATTCGCCAGAGGACCTATGGCGAACACTGGCACGTCCTCTCCCCCGTGTGTCGCCCAGGCTCGTGGCACTCCCGCCGTCTGAAAAGCAAAATGGATTTCCGATCATCGATTGTAACATGTCTGTCTGGGATTGTCTGGGCGAAGTGTTCGTGTTTACACGTTACGTTCAAGAGGGACTGCCATTCTTGAGATATTTATTTACTTGTTCTGGTATACTTGGAATTTTTTATGAGAGAATATCCTAGTCTAGAATGTTATCCTTTAGGCTTTCTTTCGGAGCATTCTTTACAAAAAAGACATTGGTATCGACATATGTTTTGCACACATTTTCATTTATGTTTTAAGAATATTCACCATTTTTGTTAAATATTTTAAGTAAATATTTAATTTAAATTATTTGGTACCGTCGCTTTCAAAAAAATAGTCCTACTAGCTGACATGATTCCGGCCATTTTGCTTATTTCGAACTAAAAAAGACCAAAGTGTCTTTAATTATTATGATTGTTCCTGTAAGATGAATCAGCACGAAATAGCTATTGAAAAATTAAAAAATGGTGGTACTTAAAGTTTGGACATCGATTTTCTGGATTTTTTTGTGCTTTTGCGGGTTAAAAAATGAGGAATAGAAATAATTTGTCGGTAATGCTGGTTTATGCGATAACGGTACATTCACCGGAGGTATACACCAAATGTGAAGTCAATCAGTTAATGTGAACCTGAGATATCGTGTCAACTATTTCAGAATGTACAGTTTCAAGAAAAAAGCGTTAAAGCTTTTTACGTTGCACGCTGCAGGTTCTGTGCCCTCTTCTTTAAAACATTTAGATTATAACTCGAGTGACAAATTTTTACCAACGATAATAAAAAGATTATAAATCGTATAATGAATTTTTACCAACAAGAATAAAAAGATTATAAATCGTATAATGAATTTTTACCAAGAAAAATAAAAAGATTATAAATCGTATAATGAATTTTTACCAAGAAAAATAAACAGATTATACATCGTATAATGAATTTTTACCAACGAATTAATTAATATCTACGATAGCAACATATGCCGCCATATGCATGTGCACGAAGGTCTAGTGAGTAGAGCTTCTCCGTGTACTATTTGTCCTTTCCTTAGGGCCGAAATTAACCCCATCGAAACGTGCATCAAAATGATAATCACGGAGCCAGAGTGCCAATAAATCACGCCATAAATTTCCAGCCGCACCGCGATTCTCCGGCATGAACGAAATTCCAGACCGCGGCCTCGTTACCGAAATCAGGGAACACAGTCGTGCAATTTCAACCTTCTAATTATGATACATGGTTACCTGATATTCCACTAACAGTTTCAATGTTACCTACGACTGTGTTCAATACAACTCGATGTTCTACTCAAAATGCAATCTTGTTTTGGGACATTCCTTATGAACGATTCTGTTGACGCTGAGCGGACGGAATATATAAAGTTTCAGTTAATTGGAATCTCTACTTTGGGTTCCGGTGTTACCGAGCCTGTGAGGCGGAGGGTGGAACAAAGTTTTCCTATGGTCACATGCTGTCTCATATTCGACGGATTAGTTTTTGGAAAACAAGAATTTAAGGCAGTCCACTTTAAGGATAATTCCGCCTTGGAGAACGCAAATAACGTAGATAATATTTAAATAACATTCATAAATTATACTTTGCTTTTATATGTATATAAAAAATATTACGAATATGTTATGTGTATAATTTTACTGTGTAGTAAGTATTATATACATTGTCAAACTGTATTATAAAAACTTTGATAAAGAACGTGTTGCATCCTTCTTCAAGGAAAAAGCGACGAGGATTCAAACAAAGGGAAGAACAGGATTCTCCAAGAGACATGGCGTTACGTTTATCATTTTTGAGCCCAGAATTAGTTAAACAGTTAGAGAAGGTCTTAGTTAGATCTTAGCAAGAGTTAATCTCTGATCACAGACTAAAACAATTAGGGAAACTCAATCTCGAAGCAAGCCAACTTCGTCAGAATAGTGAACTTGTTAGAGCAATTAGGCTCGACAGGTCACATATTTACAAGGTCCAACTTTGTTCAAATATATATGCAATAGTACACTGACATGCAAACTCAGCTTGCGCTTGGGGAAAAAATGCAGCAGGCGAAGTGTCTCTTACCACTTGGTATCAGGAATTACTAAAATTTTTGCCAAATTAACATTCGGTTTAACATTTATTTCGGTACTTGAAATAAATTTACCAAGTGGTAGGAGGCCCTCCTATGCTACTTTTTCCCCCAACGGAAGTCGTGTTTGCTCGTGAGGATACAGCAGGTACCGTAGACACACTCCAGTTGTAATCCAGCTGTCACGCGAGGCGTGGCAATTCAATTTCAAGAATCATGTGGTCCCGTAAAAGTGGAAACAGTATAAACAATTCTGTCTATTTTGACGGTGACAAAAATATTCTCGAAATTTTATTGTCGCAGCTTGCAACGTATAGCGTCGTGGGTATAAACCTTTATACAGCGAACGAAAGCTCATTTTGACTCATCTTTAGCTATTGCCGTATTCCTTGTGGTAATACAGGGTGTAACAAAAATGCTGGAAGATCCGGAAATAGGAGGCTCGTGAGGTGATTTAAAAAAAGTTTTTCCTTAGCAAAAATGTTATTTGAGGCTTTGTTAACGTGATATTAATGAAAAGCCCAGACCAATTAAAGCGCAAGTCTGCTGGCCGAGCTTCCGCGGTAACGTTGGCTACCAATCGCTATGCAAGCTCGCTTTGTCTTGCAACCAGAAAATAGTACATAAGTTTACATAAAGTTAAAAATATGAACACAATTCCATTTTGAATACTGCGTATAATGGAAATTCTACTACGGACCAAAGTGACTCTGTACTCGTCTGCCGCAGCTATCCTGGACCATCCGCCTTCCGATGGTTCAGATAGATACCAGAAAGTGAGGACTAGAAATGTTATGATCAATGAATCCTGGAATACATGTACAATCTCAGGTGGACTACTTTCATAGCGATGGCCTCACGTCTGTTCAATTTTCGATATAAAATTATTGAAATTAATATTTATTCACGAATTAGTCTCGGTACTCTATCGTCACATTTCGTACAATATCCGAACAATCACAAATTTGTGGGAAACAGATAAGGCAATGTTAGAAGTGACCAGCAGTTCGACGATGCCCAGCCTTAAGAATAAGTACATTGTTCCCGGAGAATCTGGCCACGGAGTGGGGAAGACATGGGTGCCTCTTGGCAGCAGGACTGTAATGGACCGCATGGCACTTACCCCAGAATTTCGAGGGCCCATTGTTCTTAGTAAAAATCAAGGTCACAGGCTAATGTTTCTACCACGTGAGTACAGCCTCAAGGGAACTACTTCGAAGGGAATGGTCTCACATCTATTTAACCCTCAGAGACCACACTCCACGTCAGAATACATAAACACCACACTAGTGCGAATTGGGATTTTGAATTTTCGATGATTACTTGAAGAGAAGAAAAGGAATTTGAACTCATAACATATTCTTTCGGGTAGGATTTCCTCACAAATTCAATGGTAATAATTGCAAAACTGAGAAATAATGTTTTAGCTTACAGTTCTCACTGCTGAGGCTTTCGGGTGTAAACCGTGTCCTTGTGGAATTGTTTTCCCAATGTTTCGCAAGCATTGCATGTAGCTTCATAGGGTCAAAGACACACTGATACTGGTGTGTGCCTTGTGGTTTAATTGTTTAGCTGACTAATTAAAAATTAAAGCAATGAAGCGGAACATGACCAAGCTCCAGTATATTAGAGGAGCACCACAAGACACACACCAGTATCAGTGTGTCTTCGACCCCCTGATGAAGCTAGCTGCAATGCTTGCGACATGTTGGGAAAACAATTCCACAAGGATACGGCTTACACTCGAAAGCCTGAACAATGAGAACTCAAATCTCCAATGTTTTAGCCTAATGGAAGGAGACCGTTATGCTAACTCGATAGAATGTTACCATGTTTCGTTGGTGTAAATTCACACTAGTATGGTGTATGAGGGTAAATCCTGAATACACAATTTTTATGGTCATATTTATTCTCGAATTATTATCTCGGATTCGTTCGTTTCCATGGTCCCACCCTGTTCATCATCTATATGTGTGGAAGACGCCCCGCCAAGAGGGTCCTTTCCGTGCACATTTGAAACTCGACGGATCCTTTTGGCGTGTTCGGCTCTGCGATCAGATGAAAGAGTACTGCGAGGGAGTCGTGTGAGAGGAATGGAAATCTTTTGCCCGAAGCGGTGTGGTACGAGCGAGAGCGCTAGGGCATTTTTATCGGGCGCACACCTCGGAAATGCGCGGGAAGCTTTCGTTGCGTTCAGTAAAATCGGCACGCAGGATAAACTCACGGACCCACGATCCTCCGCAGCTTTTCTCGCGGATCGCCCACGGGTTCGGCGATATCGGGATGAGATACTTGAACCTTTCACGGAATATCTGCAGTTGCATTGTCTGACCGTAGGAAAATATGTGAAAGGAAACCGGATTAAGGCTCAGAGTCCTTTCCTGGACGGAGAGCACCAAGTCACGTGGAAAAATAGGTCGTGTTAAGTGAAATCGTAACGGTTTACGGTGACATATGCTTTGGCGCGGCTGTGCATGTTAATATTTACAGCGCGATTTTGATGAAATGAATTCTGTTGATTTCTGATGTTTTTTCGTATTTATAAAAGAACTTAATGTGAGAAATGAGTTGCGAATATTTATTCAAAATATAATATTCATTTATATAAGTTTAATCAATGTAAAAATACATGGAAATAATTCTTAATGATACAAAGTTTAATTTTCGAGAATAGTATTTGATAATCTTTCATGTTCAATAATTGTAATCATAAAAATTGGTTATATACAGGGTGTCCCACCTAACGTGGGCACCTTAAATGTCTTTTTTGCTTTTGATTTGCAGAAAATTAATTTTAACAAATACTCAAAGTGATGTCCATCAACTTCGATATATCTTTGCAATAATCCCTCTATCGGAGTTGTTTTATTATTTAAATCTACTTTCATACATTTGTTGATTTTTCGTATTCAAATTTATA